CAATAAGTATCAAACTTACTGCTTTTGGCATAGTAAGTGGTATCTTCCTTTGTCTCAGTTATGAAATCATTAACCTCACCGTTTTATTTTTCCATTCATTTTCTGACTTTATAAATAAGGGCAAATATGCAATAAAATGCCAAGTGCTTGCACAAACACTGCCACATATAGAGGGCAACACAGTTAAAACAGCTGGCGCAGCACCAGGAGGAAACTTGGTGCAGCTATTTGTCTCCTGAAGTAGCCCTGTCACAATTTGGTATGGAAAAGAAATTTAGAAGTGTGGATGGCTGATATACAAAAACCCCATTTACGCGTGCTGGGACATGGTCAGTAGTAAAGCATTTGCCAAAATTAAGGATTACTTGCATTTAATTAACTTTTTTTCCCTGTCACTTTACACCTCTTAAATATGAATAATTATAACAATTTTACTTGTAAAATCTTTATGGAGATACAATTCACATAATGTACGATTTACAAATGTGATTTTTAATACAGAGAGTTGTTGCAACCATCATCACAACAATATTTGAGCATTTTCATCACACCTTCCCCCCAAAAAACCCTGCACCCTTTCACCATTACCTGCACTTGGGAATCACTGAAACACTTTCTATTTCAATAGATGCGTCTTGTGCACATTTCTATAGGTTCAGTCACAAAATATGCGCTTGTGCTGGGCTTCTTTCTCAGCAGGGTTCCATGGTTCCTCCCACGGCAGGTATCAGTAGTTCATTCCTTTCATGCCTCAACAATACCCTATTGAGGAGATAGATGATACATTTCATGGATCCATGAGTTACTTAGTAGACATTTGGATCATGTCTACCTTTTGGCCATTGTGAATAAGGCTGAGCATTCTTGTACAAGTCTTTGTATGAACATGTATCTTCTGTTCTCTTGGCTGTGCATCTAGGAGTGGAATTGCATAGAAAAATTCTGTTTTAAACTTTTCAAGGAACTGCAAAACTGTCTTCCGTGGACTGTTTAATAGTCTCACCAGCAAGTGTGAAAGAGTTTCAATTTTCCCACATCCTCAACACTCCGTATTATCTGCCCTTTGTGTTACCAACATCTAAATGGATGGGACATGGTGTCTCACTGTGGTTTTGACTTCTATATTGCTGATTATTAAACATTGTAAGCACATTTTTGTGAGCTTACTGGCCATCTTCTTTGACGAAACTCTTTGCTCAGCTCTTGCGTTCATTATTAATTGGGTTATCTTTGATTATTGAGCTTGAGTTCTTTATATAATCCAGATATAAGTCACTGAACAAATATGATTTTCAAATATTTCTCCCATTCAATATTTTGTCATTTTCTTATTTTGATAATGTCCCTTTGATGCCCCAAAGATTTTCCTTTTGATGAAGTCCAATTTATCTATTGATATGAACTGAATTACCCCCCACCACCACCACCACCAAATCCATACGTCAACATTCTGAACCTCATGGAAAGGTATTTGGAGAGAAATCCTTCGGGAGATAATTAGCTTTAGTTGAAGTCAGGAGGATGGGCCCCTCGTGATGAGATTAGTGCCCTTATAAGAAGAGACATCAATAAGCAAAGCTCTGGGTTCAGTCCTCAGCACTGCAGAAAGAGAAACAGAGACAGAAACTAAAAACCTAGCACATGCAGAGCTGACTGATCTCTCTCTCTTCTTTCTCCCATGTATTCCTTGACCTCTGTGTGTGTGTGTGTGTGTGTGTGTGTGTGTGTTTGTGTGTGTGTGTGTCCTCCAGACATGTCATTTACTCCTTCAGGACCTATAAGCATAAAAATCTTTATTTGCATCTCACATCTTTCTTAATCACTGATTACTAAGAACTATCCTAAATTAAAACCTTACCATTTTATATTCATCAGAACCCATAGAATGCACTGATTTCTGCAGTGAATCTTAAAATAACTATTTCTTTTGGATGATGTACTTTCAGAGCTGACAGGTGCCTGAATACCACAGTGCTGGAATGATTGATTTGGGTATGGTGGTGCACGCCTGTAATCCCAACACCCTGGGAGGTTCAGGCAGGAGGATCACAAATTCAACCCCAGGCTGGTCTGCGGATGTAGCTCAATGCAAAGGCCCAGGGTTCAATCCTCAACATCTCGAAAATCAGACAAAATGAAATGGAATGATTGGCTCTATAGGTGAGTAACTAGCCTTGCTGTGCTCATGTAGCTAGTTAAAGGAAAAAATGGGACTAGCACCGAAGTATTTCCCCTATGTCAGAAGATAATCTAAATCAACACTTCTCATTATTCAAACAGCAGCAAATTTCAGGGAACGGTGTTCATTTATTAACAGGTGTGGGGTCAGAAGTGGAGGCCTGATGTGTGAAAGCGCCCTTGGAAATCTAGGCTGAGTCCTCTCTGCATGAGATCCAGCGTCTCCTCAGAAGGACGGCCTTGAGCAGGGAGAGGAGCAAGCGCCAAGCCCGCTTCTAGCAGTGTGAGGGGCCTCGGGCAGAGGCAGAAGAGCGCCAGACCGCCCTCCTGAGCTGCCATCCGCCCGGCTCGGGGCACTGGCAGCAAAACGGGTGAGGCTGAGACCAGCAGCGCCGTCCCAGCTACTGCTGGAGCCTGGGGAGTCGGAAGTCACGGCCGCCCCATGGGGGAGCAGCGCGGTGTCTCTGGGGCCAGCAGAGCCCTCTCGTCCCGGGCCACATCGCGCCTCTGTGACACCCTCAGAGCCTCTGCAGTCCGCGTCCTCCGTCCTCCGAGTGCGCTGGGCCTGGGCCGCAGCTCCCCTGCCGCCCGAGCGGAGCTTGCTGTGAAATACCCTCCGACCCAGCCTTTAAAAGTCCCTAACTCTCAACCCAGCAACGCCCCCTCTGGAGGAAATAATTCCGAAAACAAAGATTTAGGCATAAAATGTTTATTACGGCATAGTCGTACTACTATCCGTGGGCACTGAGGTATCAACAGCTCAGCGAAAGTTAAGTAATGGTACATCCATGCAGCCATGAAAAAACTATGAAGAGTCAACTTAGAAATGTTATAAAGCAATGTTAGGCAAGAAAAACAGGTAACTATTGTATATATTGTGTAAGCTCCTTATGTTATTTTTTAAAAATAGAAAAAAAAATAGATGCCAAAATGTTAACAGTGGTTGCCCTTAGAAGGTGAAACCATGGATTATAATTGATTTATCCTCTGCTATTAAAAAAAGCTAAATTTTCTAAATTATCTTCAATTATATTTTTTAAATTTATAGCCGGTAAAAAAAAAAAAGATTCAATTAAAAGAAAGTTATTCAATAGATTAGAAGATGCAGAAACAACTCCAGACATGCTCAGCCACCTCATCTTTGACAAAGGATCCAACCACCCTCATTGGAGGAAAGATAGCCTATTTAATAAACGGTGTTGGAAAAACTGGATTTCAACCTGCCAAAGATTGAAAGTAGACCCATACCTATCACCATGCACTAAACTGAGATCAAAGTGGGTTAAAGATCTAAATATTAAGACAGAAACACTAAACTTGCTGGAAGGTAAGTTAGGTAGAACTCTTGAAGACATTGGCATAGGAAAAGACTTCATGAACAAAACCTCAGCAGCACGGGAACTAGCAGAAAGAATCAACAACTGGGATCTCATCTTATTAAAAAGCTTCTGCACTGCAAAAGAAACCACCAACAGAGCTAACAGACAACCTACAATATGGGAAAAAATTTTAGTAGCTGCACCTCAGACAAAGGACTACTATCTAGAATACATAAAGAACTGAAAAAAATCAGACCCCACAAATAGAAAGACCCAGTTCAAAAATGGGCATCTGAAATGAACAGACATTTCTCAGACAAGGAAGTAAAAGCAGCAAACAAATACATGAAAAAATGTTCAACATCACTGGTCATTCAAGAGATGCAGATGAAAACAACCCTGAGATTCCACCTCACCCCAGAAAGAATGGCTGCTATCAAGAAATCAACAAATAACAAATGCTGGTGGGGTTGTGGGGAGAAAGGAACTCTTCTCCATTGCTGGTGGGAGTCCAGACTGGTGCAACCACTGTGGAAGTCAGTATGGAGATACCTCAAAGAACTAGGACTACAGGTCCCATTTGACCCAGCTATTCCCCTGCTGGGTATCTTCCCAAAAGGATTAAAAGAATCATACCACAGCAATATATGTGCACCCATGTTCATAGCTGCACAGTTTGTAATAGCTAAAGCTTGGAAGCAGCCCAAGTGCCCATCAACTGGAAACTGGATAAAGAAAATGTGGGGCTTATAAAATGGAGTACTACTCAGCCATAAAGAATGAAAACCTAGAGTCATTTATAGCTAAATGGATGCATATCGAGGCCATACTCTTAAGTGAAATAAATAGGACACACATGTGTAAATACCAATAGTTTCACTAGTGTGAGAAACTGATAGTGTAAACAAGGGTTAAAATGATTAAAATGAATAATTGATAATCTGAAATAGGAAAAAAGGTCCAAAGATGAAGGAGTGAAGGGAGGGGAAGGGGAAAGGAAAAGAGGGAAAGGAAATACTATGAGAAAAGAAAAAAAATGGAAATGAAATCTATGTAAATAGGGAAGGGCGGAAGGGGTGAAGGGTGCACAGGTAATGGGGAAAAAAAAATAAGAACCAAGATATATCGTGTACAGGTACAAACACCCAATGATAAATGTAAATGAATTGTATACCTAAAATGTACAAATAAAAGAACAAAAAAAGAAGAAAGTTATTCAATATGACCTTCTCAGCTGTTCCCAGTTTTGAACCTCTTGAGAGTAGCTGGACCTGCTAAATGTAGGCTGAAATCTGGGTGTGGTGGCGCACAACTGTAATCCAAGCATTCTGGGAGGCTGAGGCAGGAGGATCTCAAATTTAAGCTCACCCTGGACAACTTAGACCTTGCCCTAAGATTTTTTTTGAAAAGGGAGGGTCCTGGGGATGTAGCTCAGTGCGAAGACCTTGGGTTCAATCCCCAGTAACCCCCAACACACACACCCCAAAAAGATATAGACTTAACTCTGCAAAGCTTTTTATTGTATGCTTCCAATGCACTTGCAAGGCCCTGGATCGCTGTCCATGCCACAGGAATAACGCGCCTGGGAAGAGGCAAAGCTTCAGTCGAGCAGGCCTCGTGCTCGGTGGGCTGCTCTCATCCATACCGGAGAAATGGGTAGAGAGCAGCAGAGGGGCTCTCTGGGACAGGGGCTGGACTCTGGATTCCCACCTCCTGAGGGGAAGGGCCCGGACCTCCCTGTGGGATTCCACAGCTCCTCCAAGCAGGGCTCACTTTCCAGGTTCAGCCCGAAGCCACTGCCAAGTGCCTGGGGGAAGAAGAGGCTGGTGGGAGATTAGTGTCTTTCCCGCAGAACTTCGCCGCTGTTAGTGAGGCTACAAATTACTAGGAGGCTTGTGTGAACTGCTGGTCCCTGCCAGAAATTCTGATTTAATAGGTCTGGATAGGATGGAGAGTACTGATTTATTATCAGGCAGTCCTCATTCCCAAGTGTTTTTGATGCAAAAATCTAGAAACTCAAATTGCAGGCAAAATACAAGTGAGGTTATTTTGTTTGGTTGGATCTGTGTTTGGTTTTGTTGTTGTTTTGAGAAGACCCATAACTATTATCAGATTCTCAAGGAATTCCATCAAAGTTCCATGACTCAAGGTTAAAAACTGTCTTGAGCAAAAAAAGATCAAAACTAAGGTGGCCTCATCCAAGCTTCAACTTGAAAGGTTAAAACACACATACACACACATACACATACACACCCACTCACATGCACACACACGCACGCTCATACGCACACCGGAGCGGAGACTCGTGAGAATGTACAGAAGAGATTTTCACCTTAAGTCTTGGACATTAACAGCCTATTTTCATTCCACATAGGCAACGTGGTGCAGCACCTCATCCCTGGAGACCTGGGGATCAAGGAGGCTCAGCCTCAGCAGAGGTCAACGGGAGAAAAGGTCCCGGGTTTTCCCAGTTGGACAAACTCCAAGGGTTCAGAGACAAAAAACAAAACTGTAAACTACTTTGGGGTCTTTCCGTCCAGAGATGAAACTGTTATAAGAAGGCAAGGCAGTCCAGAAGATGCAGTGTGTGGACAGGGAGCAGCGGTATTCGAGAAGAGGGAGCTGGACAGAAGCAGCCACGGTGAGCCCGACCCGATGGCTTCACCCCGATCTCCTGACCCCGGCAGTGGTGTGCACAGGGGACCAGACTGGACACTGTGCCACAGCGAGGGGCCCTGAGTGCTGCTGCTGCTCTCAGCGGGGAACTGGGTCCAACCCACATCCCATGTGCTGGGAGGGGCCGGCTCAGATGCTCTGAAAATCTGTGAGCACATTTCCACATTCACCTTGTGTCCCCCTAGAAGGGGCCTGGGAAACACATATCAGCATAAACGCTGCCCTCCTGCACCTAATCTCCCTGGGCTAAATTCCTCTCCAGGTTTCTCCTCGCCGCCTGCTGCTCAAGCGCAAGGACCCGAGTTCAATCCCCGGTACCAAAAAAAATAAACAAACAGATTTCTCCTTCGCTGCATATTGTAATTAGTCTGTGGCTGACTTCTCTACCTTCTGTGCTTCTGGACTGCAGTCTTCCACACTACAGCTCAGGTGACAGCCTCTAAAATATTCCACTGTTCCCTCAGTGGCAATAGAGAAAATTTTTTAAATCTTCCAGAATCCTGTTTTTAAATAAAATATTACCCCAAAGCCATATTTAGCAGAAGTGAGAAGCAGAGCTGTTCTAGTTACAGTGTGACCCAGGGTCCCCGGGCCAGCTCTCCTCCTTTCTTGTGGCTGCTGGGGTCCCACCCCCAGGCCTCCCCAGCAAGGTGAAAGCTGCCTGCTGGCTTCCTGGTGGCAGGAAAGGAGCTTCCTAAGCCAGCGCCAGCCCTGCTCCTACTGCCCCACCTGGCTTGCTTCCTGTGGCTCCCAGCACTCCCGCCCCAGCCGAATGCAGCTGTTTGTTCTCAAGTCCACCACCATTACAGGGAATTTCAGATCTGCATAAAAATCAAATGGAATACTACAGTGAGCCTCCAGAGCCCTACCCGCCTGGGTGCTGAGGAGTGGATGCCCCGACCGCAACAGTCACCCACCAAAATGCCAGGCCACTGCAGCACCCATTCCCGAGGAGCCACCACGCACAACAGCACATCACAAAGTCATCTCGCCCGGGTAGCACCAGACAGCTCGTGTTTGAATGCCCAGTGTCTCATAAATGTCACCTTTACATTGGGATCCAGAACAGACCCATGCGTTGAGATTGTGTCTTTCTTTTAAAGCTGCAGGGCCTCTGAAAATGTTTTCTTCTTGAACTCATTTATTAAAGGAACTGAGTCAGGTGTTTTGTAATCCTTCCCTCGTTTCACTCATTAATCTTTATGGGGTGGTTTAACATTTCCCCACCCTATTTCCTGTTACATAGGAGCTTGACCAGACCCATGCTTGAATATATTTTTTCTCTTTGCAGTGTTGGGGTCAAAGCACCCCACGTGCTAGGCAAGCACTCCGCCACTGACCCGAACTCCCCAGCCCCAACTTCTTAACTTCCTCCTAGGCGACCCCGCTCCTTTTGGGTTGCCAGCAGCTGCGGACACTCAACGCTCAGACCTACTTACTGGGGTGGTGAAATGATGGTGTTCTATTTCAGTCACTCCTTCAACTACTCGGTGAAATGTGTCTGCACAAAAGACCTGCCCTCGCCCGCCTGGATACCAGGAGACGTGTTCTGTGAGTGCCTTGGCCCTTGGGCACTTCCCTCTGACTCCACCCTTTCATATCCTCTCCAATGGGAGGATCTGATTATCCTTTCAAACCAGCCCAAGTATCACCCCAAGAAGACTCGCCTCCCTCCTGGCAGAGTTCGCCTCTCTTCCAAGTGTTAAAAGGGCATCATTATAATAATGCTTACCTCATTGATACTGTTCATTTACAGCCTCTGTCCCCAGAACTGGAACTCCTCAAAAGCAGGAAGTGCCTGAAGCCCTGGTATCTGTGTGAAGTGGCTATGGAACAAATGTTCGCAGGATAAATGAAATACTGAAGGAGCTGGGTCGCATGTAAGAAAAGTTGGTTTCACTTAAGTGGCACTACGTAGCATGCAGGTCACAGGACCACTGGTGGTGAGGTGACCACCACTAGAACGACTCCCCTGAATCCAAGGCACCCACAATGAGTAGACATGGATTCAGTGAGTTACCAAATCAAGCGCCCACAGTCAGACATCCTTCCACCGGGCCAGAGAGGAGAGCCTGGGGCTGACTCCTCAAAGTACGGAGAAGCATGAGGAGAACCAGGCTGAGCCGGGCGTCTTCCTCAGAATTCCCTCTGCAAAGAGTCAGACACAGGGTGTCGCCTTCAAATGACAGCCAGGATTCAAAGCCAGCTGCATTCCCTTTTCTGTCTCTGCATCTGGTCCATGCAGGGCCAGGGTGGAGTGGGCTGAGGAGGGCAGGCAGAGAATCTCCTATCTCTGATGAAATGTGGTTTTTGAGAAGTCCCCTGTCATGTTCTAAAGAGGGAAGGTGGCATGTTTAGCGCCTCTGCTCTGGCACAAAAGCAGAAGTTTATTTCTAGGTCTCCTTGGGAAGTCAGCAGGCTGAGCGTGCCAGACAGGGCTGGGAAATGTGGCTACAAGTTCTGGTCCTCCTAACCACAGGGTCGGGGCTCCAAGACTCCCCAGGAAGTGGCTGGCTGCTTCCCTGGTGGCCCCTGGAAGTGATCCAAAAGCAGAATACCAGGTCCAATAAAACCACACAGACTTACAGTGCTAAAATGGGCAATCATGAGGAAAACAGGGCAGAACCATAGGCAGTGGAGTAGAAAGCTGTCCGTGATATATTTTCATGAGAAAAACAAACTGCAGAATATATGTACTATGCATAAAATCACCCCATCAGAAGTAAGTCTCTGTGGTTTGAGCACATAGAGAAAGACATCCAGAAAGGTATGTGACAAGTGGCCAACAGTAGTTATCTCAAGCAGTGACATCAAAGGAAGGGAGGAATTTTAATTCTGAAATCTGCTGTATTTCTTTTTTATAAGTTACAAGGGCTTTTATAATTTCAAAGATTTTTTTATGCTGGGGTTTGAACCCAGGGCCTCATGCACACCAAGCACATGCCCTATCACTGAGCTACACCCCCAGGCCCCTAACACAGGCCGGCATAGGAAGAGGGTGGGCTCCCGGCTAGTGCAGGGCTCTGCCAACAGAGGGCAACCACTTATTCTCCCACTGGGGGCCACCACATGCGGCTCCCGGGACACCTAGGCTGGTGCTTGGCTGCACCTGCATTGTAGTGGAGGCCGCTCTGAAGGGCATGTCCTAGCCTGCTTCAGGCCCATTCGACCCTCCAGACCTGGGTTGATGTGACAATAGTTGTGTTGGAATCACAGTGAGCTACGGGGAAAGGGACAGAAGCAAAAAGGGCAAGGGCCATATGGGTTCCCAGGCCGGTCCGGTCAGTGGTCGGGAGGACACGCTGCCGGCGACTTGCATGGAACGTCTTCCCTCTTCCAGCCCCAGGACGGGGCAGGATACAGCCTCTGTTCTAAGACCAGGGATGGGAGAGTTTTTAACAGACTGTGAGGTAGCACTGGGAGCAACTGGAGACCTAGTGGAGAGAAATGAAGAGAACATCCAAGGAGACAGAGGCCACAGAACAAGCAGGGAGAAGAGGACGAGACAGGCCTCATCAGGCACAAGCCTACAACAGGAAGGAAATGCACTACCGCTGATACGTGGTCCTTAGTGCTGAGCCCTAGCGTAAACCAGCAGGAGAGAGGATCCAGGGGAGCACTGAATCCATGCCCTTTACCACTCCAGACCCCACAGCAAGATCCCAGCACTGTGACCAAACGGCAGGAAAAACGAACACGCCCGAAGATGAGACAGATCCGGCAGACCCTGCTCCATCTGGCGCTGATGCGTCCCTCTGCACCAGGAAGCTCCCCAAGCCCCTTAGAAAAGAAAGGCTCCTGTGCACTGCGCTCCCTCACTTTTCAGGCTCTCGCTCCCCTTCTTGAGTCTTCCTGTGCTACCAGGCCCAGAGCCAAACCAGCACCCCAGGCCGGCCTGGGCTGAGCAGCAGGCCTCTCGGCGCCATCCTCAAACCGACGGCTCGCTGCACTCCAGGGCCTCGAGGGACCCCAGCACCTTCCGCACCCACCCTCCCACTCCTCCTCTCCTCTCCGCCCGCCACTGGCACCAGCCAGGCACCAGCCTGCCCTCCCTAACTCTCCACCATGCCCTCACCCACCGGCCCTCCCAGCAATCCAGGTCAGTCATTTGAAAACAAAGGACTTCCAAGCAAAGACTTCTATCAGAGTCTGACCTCAGCCCTGAGTGTAAGGCAAGGCAAGTTCCTTAACTACTTAAGACCTCCTTTCTTCATTGTAAGACAAGGATAATCAGAGTTGCAGTAAATATTTAACAAAAATTGTGTATGTGAAGCCTTTAGGTCACAGCTTAGTCCAAAAATATTTGCTGTTGGGGCTGGGGCCTGCCCAGAGAGGAGCTGCATGGGCATGTGGGCTTCCGACAGAGGCCCGCCATTCCATCGCTGAGTGCATACAGATCCTGGGGAGCACCTGTGTGGCCCAGTTCCTAGAGGCTCGGGCACACCTGCCCAAGCCAAAGGCCTGCCCAGAAAGGGGCTGCACAGCGAACAGGCTTCCGCCAGAGGCTAGCCATACCATCAGCCACAGCCAGGGACCCGTCTGGAGAAGAGCTGTACAGATACACAAGCAATACCCAGAGGCTCGCCCGATACCATTGATAAGTGCAAGGAGACCCTAGCCAAAGCCTGTGCACACAACAGAAACTGGGGTGCACAGCCCCCAACCAAAGGCCCTCCCAGACAACAGCTATGTAGGGGGCCCAGTGAGAGGCACACCCAGATACCATCCCAAGTGTGCTCAGGCCCCAAGCAGAAGCCCGCCCAGAAAACAGGTCAGCTCAGGGATCCAGAAGGCCACCACTCTGAACCCAGAAATTGGTGTGCTGGTGAGCAGCAAGAGTAAAGGCTGCTCCGTGGCTTCCTAAGAATTCAAGACCATTGGGTGAGCAAAAAGTCACCTCAACAAAGACACAGCAGGTTGCATCTGTTGAAATGAGAAGACACATAAATAAGTCTCAAAACCAGACTTCCAGATCACCTAAGGCAACCCCAAAGGGAAAAGAGATAGAACAATATGATGCTCAACCACCTGGACTCCCTGAACTGGCAACAAAAGAGGATCTGGAAAAAATGAAATCAGAAATAATTTCTCAGATAACAACAGAAATTGTATCCATAGTGCAAGACATGATTAATAAATCTAGATCATACACAGATTTAAAAAATAGAGGAGCTGAGGAACATGATGGAATCCCAACATAGGAAACAAATGGAATCCATAAAACAGATGCAAACAGATTTCCAGGAGATTAAAAATTCCATTGAATTAGGCCAGGGATTTAGATCAGTGGTTTTGCCACCTGCTGCGGAAGCACAAGGACCCGAGTTCAATCCCCCATACCAAGAAAAAAAAAAATTCCATTGAAAGTCTACGCAGCAGAATGAGCCAATGTGAGGACAGAATTTCAGATACAGAAAATAGGATTGCAATGAGTGACCAGGAAATGAAAAATTTAAAATAGTAAGGGACCACGAGAAATCAATCCAGCAGCTGCTGGACGATGCAAAGAAGAATAACATAAGACTGATCAGACTCAATGAAGAAACAGGACAGAGTGCAGATGACATAAAAACTGTTCAAAGAAGCAATGGCAGAAAACTTCCCAAGCGGGGGGAAAAAAACTTGACATACAGATAAGTGACATATATAGGACTCCAACTAGCCTTGATCAAAAAAAAAATCTACAGGGTCGGGGATTTAGCTCAGTGGTTTCGCCACCTGCTGCGCAGGCGCAAGGACCCGAGTTCGATCCCTGGTACCAAAAAAAAAAAAA